CAACGCGCGTCAGAGCCACTTTTGGACCGCGCAGCCAGAGCAGCAAAGCTGCTTCAGCCGCGCGTCAGAATTCACTGGTACAAGCAGTAAAAATGAAGCAGCAGACGCGATTTTGCTGCTTTTGCTGCCCCCGGTGTGAACGCAGCATTAGACCCCGAAGCTGCTGATAACCTTCAGCAGTGGTTGTATGTCTGTTTGGGTCAGCATTGCTTTGATCCACTGAACGTTACAGATATTTGTTTCTGCTCAGCTACCAGACCTTTGATTCATTGTCTCCTTTCTATCTCCTCTTTCTTTCATCTTTTCTCTTTTTTTCTTCTTCTTCTGTTCTATTTACATTACAGTGTCCATAAAATCTGTAAAACTCCCTGCATAATTATAATAAAGCAATTTATACGCATTAAACAAGTGGAGCAATATGGCGATAGCCGTACTGCTCCACTTCTGAAAGTAAAAGCTGTTGGGCTCTTTTTGGCATCAAGACAATTATTCTTATTGCCACATTGCCAGACAGGACACTGGAGGAAAAAAAAAAAACTTTTCAAGACTTTGACTAGACCGTTGCAACATCCCGGTTCTTCTTCTTTCAGCTCCTCTGTTTCTGCTGCTGAGTTTAGGATCATTGTCGGGTATTATCTCTTCCAAACAAATTTTAGTGTTGAACTTTAACCTCTAACCTGCTAACTGACGCCTGTAGATTCTGGGATGTAGATCTTAACGACAGACCTCAACTAGTTTTGAATGGACCTCCAAACTGCCACAGACTGATGCGCAGAAACTATTTATTTTTTCTCTTCAGCACAGCAAAGCAATAAAAAATCTCTGTGCTGTAATTAGCATCACCTCGCTGCTACGTTCCCTGCTAAATATGAACGAAGCAGCAAATCTGCACTGATTTTTTTTAAATCATAACTGATGCTTCTGATGCCCTTGCAAGGTGTCAAACAAAAGCAAATGTCCTTTAGCCTTTAACTGCTTGGCAACCTGGGAGAATCCCTCCAACTCGGGCTGAGGACCTCTTTGGAACTTGTTTTCTCCAGTTTGGAAATATTTAGATATCCACATGTAGCTCCATCCTTAACAACACATTATGAATTATTAATTGATGATGTGTTAATTTATTATACTTTAATATCAGCTGCCTGTTGCGGGTCAGAACTGACGGTTTCCACAATAGTTAAGACAGATCCCGTCCAGATATGCAGTTATAATCTTCATTCTGTACGTGGCGAATATTTGGGAATAGAAGCAGAGCGGCGTCCTTCAGCTAAGAACAAAGTGTAATATTTTGATAAGGCTGGAGCCATGGATGTCTCCTCATCTGAAAACGTGTGTGACGTAATGATGCGGCAGACTGGAGATATATAAAATGCCTCTTTAACTGTTAATCGGGGCCACTTCCTGAGAAGTGAGCCCCGTTGGTAAGCAGCTGCCTTCTGTAAACTCTAAGCAACTTCTCTGTTCTAAGCAAGATTACAATTTCTATCAGAATCTGTTGTCATGTCTCCTGGTTATTTAATACATATAAATTATGAGTGACTTATTTTCTGGAAAAAGAACCAGAGAGAGAAAGCTTCACGGTTTTAGACATAGAGAGCCTGTCTTTAACACAAATAAGTAACTTTTGCACACATTTCTTGAATTTAAGCCCTTTAAATGTATTCAGTAAGCTGATTTTTAACCATCTATATGCAGCTAAAAACACCAGAAAGTTCTCAGCCAAACACTTCAGGTTGGGAGTCGCCGTTTCGTTAAATAAAATATCTCAATACGTCACTTTAAACATGTCAGCCAGGTCTCATTATGTGAGAAACTAAGAGTTCATCAACAAACAGGAGGAAACATTAACTACAGACTTTAAGGGGAAGATTTAACTCAAAAGATATCATTAGGTCCTGACATCTTTTATGAATTTAATTAACCTACATCACTACAAATAAAACTAATCTTACCACAGAGGAGAAAACTTCTGCAACAACATTTAAATGTAGAAATCTAAGAATATTGTTAAGAAAGTTCAGTATTTTTTCTCATTAATTTCAGAAAGTGAAACTCGTATCACATAGATACACAATTTTTAAAGCCTTTTTTCTTGTAATTGTGATAATTATGACTTTCAGAGAAAGAAACCTCAAATAAAAGTGTCCCAGAAACGGGTGGGTACTATCTAGTTACAGTTACTCTAGTAACTTTTTAACAGACACTTTCGGCTGAATAGTACGGAGGAGGATTAGGGCCAGTGGAGAGAAAAAAAAAAAAGTTAACTGATTTTTACATTTTATTTCAGTTTAGTATGGGAAACAAGTCAGAATTCTGAGAAAAAAGTCGGAATTCTGACTTTTTTCCCATATTAAACTGAAATAAAATGTAAAAATCAGTTAACTTTTTTTTTTCAGTGGCCCTAATCCTCTTCCGTAGAATAGCATCCTTTTTACTTTAACTCAAGCAATATTATCATGAAGTATCTCCTACTTCAGTCATTTTTACTCACTGCGAGTCACTTTAACTGGAACAAAGAAGAATTTTAACATAAAATGCACCAAATACAGACTGTGAACGATTCACTAGAACTAAGTT